ACACATCATCAGATTCATTTTGCAGCAGCAACAGCTCGTCAACACGCATTGGCCAGCAGGCGGCGTTTCCAGTTCCACATGCAGGTCGGGCGTCAATGGCATTGCCCATGGGCGTGCACATGAACCCGGCGCAGGATGGCCCGCCTTTAGGCAGGGCTAGGGATGCAAGCCTTTGAGTCCCGTTCTGTCCCATCACGATCTCATAGTTCCAAAAGCGCGAGCTAATCCCCCGCCCGCAAAGAATGCCCACAACCAAAACATGCTGGGCTCAACAGATCGCTCTCCAGCAGCAGCAGCAAGTGGCGCAAAACCAGCAGATGCAGCAAGGTGGACACCGGGCCAGCCGGTGCACATGAGCGCCCAGCAGATGCAGAGCCTCCAGCAAGCACAGATCGCTGCTCTACAGGCACAGCAACAGGGCCACCAGCAGGCACAGCAGCAGCAGCAGCAACAACAGCAGCAACAGCAGGCTCAGCAGCAACAGGCCCAACAACAGCAGGCTCAGCAACAGGCCCAACAGGCCCAGCAGCAGCAGCAGCAACAGCAGCAGCAGCAGCAACAGCAACAGCAACAGCAGCAACAAGGCCAGCCTCCGCAACAGCAGCAGCAGCCCGGTGGGCCGCAGCCTCAACAGCAGACACCGCAACAGCAGGCGGCCCAACCCGCCGGACCGCAGTCTGCGGGTCACCCCACACCGTCGCAGACGCCCGGCCCCCAGCCAAATCAGCAGCCTCAGCCTCCCCAAGCCCAGAACCAGGCGCAAGGTCCTCAGCCGGGGCAGCAGCCCCAGCAGCAATTGAACCCTGCACAGCAGCAGGCTCAACACGCGGCAGCGCAGGCCGTCATGGCCAACAACATGGCCCTGGCCCAGCAGCAAGCGCAGGCTCAGCAGGCGAGGAGGGAAGGAATGAAGGGGCACTGCTTACTGAAGCTCATGCAGTTCAGCGAGCACCTCAGCGGCTTTTCCCGTAAGGACGTTGGCCGGCAAGACGCGAAGGACAATCGCTAATATGACAAACTCTAGGGATCACGAGGCAAGGATGATTTGTCGTACTGGAACATGTTTGTCAACCAATTCTTCTCTACGAAAGGCGTGTTCCGACACTCTGTTCATATCACCGACCACGAGGATCCGTCGGATAAGCAGTACGAAATCTCGTACCCCGGCACTCGCGCGATACTTCCACACCCATTTCGACAGCGGCGTCAGGAACATGCAGTGGTTCATGAAAAAGGCCACCACTGACCGCCCACTCCCTGGCGATGGACACTGGATCGAGAACACAAAGTCGAGCCTGGTGTACTGGTTCGACAATGGATCACACGTAAGTTTGCTCTTGGCCTGGAGGCCATGCCGCACCCGAGATTAACATGAATCCACAGCTTGTCGCGACTGGTACTGTGCGAGCCCATTTCGACCACGAGCAAAAGATTGAGCTCTTTGAGTTTGTCACGAGTGGCCACGAGGAATACATTTCTCGGAAATCTGTTATCGAATCAGCGAAACCCGCACACAACTGGGTCAAGGAATGGCACAAGGTCAATTCGCAAGACTCGAAGACGTCGCCAGAAATGAGCAAGAAGGGCAAGGCAAGGCCATTGAAGTCGCCGCAAAACCCACCCCCAGAAGCCTTGGTGGATCTCCCTGAATCCTCCGTTAAGAGGGGCATGGGTGTTACGGAGGAAGTCTTCCAGTTCCTCGAGGTATGGATCCCCGCGGGCTCTGCAGTAGAGGGTTGGCACTAACCAGGATGTGCAGATCGTTGAGGTTTTCGGCCAGATGAACCCGCTGTTTGGCTTCTCTCACAGCCACCCTGGCATGCGCCCCTACCTCGCCCTCGAGCAATACGTCAACCAGATCAACAGCCAACCCCAGCCTAACATGAATGGTCAGCCTATGCAGCAAGGGCCGCCACGCACCCCGGGTTTCGGGCAGTTCCCGGTCCCGCAAATGCCGCCAGGGGGCGTGGGAGCGAGCCCTGCCCAGCCGCACATGCAGCTCCCTGGATCGCCTCACATCATGGGTAGCCCGGCGCAAATTCAGATGCAGGCACCCGGTATGCAGCTGCAGCAGAGCCAACAAGGCACAAGCTCGAGCGGGCCGAGCGCCAACACGTCACCGGCATCCAACAAGAGGAGACGCCCATCAGGGGTCAAGACGGAGGACGATGGTTCCTCGGCGCCAACGCCACAGTCGGGACCTGGTGGGCAGGTGAACGGCGTCGGCAACAAGGGCAAGCCTCCCACGCCGAGAATGCCCAAGCGAGTCAAGGGCAACCCCGCGTGATGATGTGGCAAGGCGTATTCAATTTGAACATGATGTAGTCAATGTCATTGACAACGCACGACACGGTAGCGCCTCGTCTATTACAGCATGCCGACGTCTCGCGTCGACTCTCTCGGATTCCAGGCCTGAGTACACCGTCCGTTGCTTCCGGCGAAGCATTCCAGCAATTCCTCATGGCCGGCAATCCACGATCCTACTTACTCTTGGGTCATTGATCACACAAAACCACGAGTCAAGAAGAAAAAAACACACACACCTACCTCCCAACCAACATGGCGATTATATCAAGTCTCGCGCCCACTCTATCAAGACGCAACTAGGGTCAATTCGACCGCATGACGAATAGC